TATATATATATATATAATCATGGAATCTATGATTCCATATATATATATGTATATATATACCAGATTTTTTTAAAAAACAGATTTTTTTTTTAACAATCATTACTTTTCTGGTTAATTTCCCTTCTCTTATCCACAGTGGGTTGATGGGCTTTATATACTTATATGCTATATACTTATACACATATATAGTATATACTTATATACTATATACAGGGTCTTTTTTGTGGGAATATACTTGTGCTAGAATGTGATGTGACTTGAAATGGGGAAAGGGGGAAGATCGCTTGCTGGATAAATGATAAACTGTAGAAATTGTAGTCAACGCTAATGCCTTGTCCTTTTCCTCCCTGGTCAGGAAACGTACAAACTACCGCACAGATTAATAGAGAAGAAAAGACGAGACAGGATTAATGAGTGCATTGCTCAACTGAAAGATTTATTGCCTGAACATCTGAAACTGACAGTAAGTTCAGTCAGGACCCTTGTCCATGGCTTTATATACATTCATATATGCCTGTCTGCATAGCTCTTAGGCATCTCTATTATCATGGCGATGGTTCTTATTTTTGCTAGCAAGGCTGCAGTGCCGTGCCCATTTACCGAGGAGTAATTCCCCTTGGATAGTATCCAGAGTTAGTCATCCTAAAAAGAGATCCATTTAAATAAATGGGGCTCAAGTTAGGAGTCACTTAAGTCCCATTTCAGGGGGGCTAGTTGCAGTATGACTAACTCTGGATCCAACTCATTGGATTTAATAGATTTTACCCCTGAGTTGTGCTGTAAGGCTGGAATCCTGTGCACATTACTTGGGTTTTTGTCTTCTCGTGCTGTTGTTGTCTGCCTTCAAGTCGTTTCCGACTTAGGGCAACCCTATTTGTCTTGGCATGTTTCTTCAGTGCATGTTTGCCATTGCCATCCTCTGAGGCTGAGAGAGTGGGACTCACCCAAGGTCACCCAGTGGGTTTCCATGGTTGAGCTGGGATTCGAACCTTGGACTCCAGAGTCGCAGTCCGGTGCTCAAACCACTACACCATGCTTCCTCTCTTGTTGAACTAAGTGGGGCTTACTTCTGAATAAACAGGGATATGGGTGCATTGTAAAGGATGTTGTACATGTCTGAAAATAAATTTTCAAAACCTCATTCTTCTTTTTGCTTACTTGGATGTAAACCCTGCTAATCAATAGGGCTTCTCCTAAGTCAAAAAGGAAGCAACATCTTTTGAAATGTGCTTTTGGATATGTCCCCCCCCCGGGGGATGTTTAAGATTTAGGATTCAAAACTATTCTATATTTTTTATCCATACCACCAGAGCATCATGTTCCTGCAGCATGTAATGGAAGTTCCTTATCTAACAGCAAATGTGTAAATATGGCAGAGAAATACCATAGCTGCACAGAACTTCCACACTTTTTGTGAAGTTTCAAATTGGATCCAAACCCGCCACCCCCCCTTAATTTTTTTTCAAAGTGAGTTCAGTGAAGTTTTAGGGGAAAAAAAGGATGCAGGGATTCCATCTGACAATGACTAACCCACGAGTCTTCCCATTTTTTCCTTTGCAGACTCTGGGGCATCTGGAGAAAGCTGTAGTTTTGGAATTAACGTTGAAACACTTAAAAGCTTTAACTGCCTTAACAGAACAACAGCATCAGAAGATCATTGCTTTGCAGAATGGTAAGTAAACAAGGCTGCTTGACAAATAGAAAGGAGGAAAAACTTGGCCGGTTAAGGTCGATGCTAAGGAGGCAGTTCTAATAAAGAGTCTTCTCAAGCTGCTAACGTCAGAATACTTCACGGGCTGCATGCATCCACACTGCAGAAATAATCCTGTTTGATGCTTGAGCCATGGGGTCAAACCGGATTATTTCTGTGGTGCAAATGCAGCTACTATTGCCATACTGAAATGTCCTGCTTCAGAGGAACTGCCTCTGGCCCATGTAACCTGGATAAATAGTTGTTTACTCAAAGGTTGGTCCCCTCTTTTTGGTGGACTTCCTCCCAAGCATGTGTTTGTAAGTGTGCATCTGTGCAGCCTAATGCTGTGTGTGTGTGTTTACTTAGGAATAGTTGATTGGGAGTGGTTCAAAGTGGTTCCCACTATGTTCAGTTAAGACTTCCAAGAATCTTGATGTGTGACCAGTTGAAATACAGACATTGCAGTTTCTTTTTGTTTTAATATATCACAGTTCTTGCTTGACAATCAATAACTCTAAAGCTTAGCACTTTGTTGTTGTTGTGTGCTGTCTAGTAATTTCCAATTGATGGAGAGTCAATGTGGCATAGTGGTTTGAGTGTTGGACTGCAACTCTGGAGTCTAGGGTTCGACTCCCAGCTCAGCCATGAAACCCCCTGGGTGACCTTGGCCAAGTCACACCCTCTCAGCCTCAGGGGAAGGCAGTGGCAACCCTCCTCTGAACAAACCTTGCCAAGAAAATCCCAGCATAGGTTCATGGCCTTCGGGTGTCCACAAGTCGGAAACAACTTAAAGGCACACAACACACACACAAGGTAAACCTATTGCAGGGAAAGTATTTAGAGGGGTTTATGGGATTATGTCTTGTTTAACTTGTTGTTTGTTTGTTTGTTTTATTTCTATCCTGCCTTTCTCCCTAAAAGGGATCCAAGGAGGTTCACAATATAAAAACACAGTAAAACAACATTTAATTTTTGTAAAAAAAATAACCTAATTAAAATACTAGAAGATTGTTGTGCGCCTTCAAGGGTTTTCTGACTTAGGGTGACCCCATCATAGAATTTTCTTGGCATGTTTCTTCAGAAAGAGGGGTTTGCTCTTGCCCTCCTCCAAGGCTGAGAGAGTGTGACTTGCCCACAGCCACCCAATGGGTTTCAAACCCTGGTCTCCAGAGTCCTAATCCAAAACGAAACAGTGGCACAAACCAGACGCAGAGCAGGGAGATTGGAGAGATACACAATTCTGCCTGGTCCTTCGTTCAGGGATGGTGGATCCAAGGAAGGTATTTCAAGTGTGATCAGGTTCTTTCCCCCTTCTTCTTCTTTCTTCTTCTTCTGGTGTGGATCCTGACTGCCCCCTTCTCTCCTTTGCAGGGGAGAGATCCCTGAAGTCCCCTCTCCAGTCTGACCTGGAGGCTTTCCACTCGGGGTTCCAAACCTGCACCAAAGAAGTCTTGCAGTACCTCTCGCGATGGGAGAGCTGGACGCCAAGGGAGCAGAGTGGGGCCCAGCTCCTCCGCCACCTCCACTCCGTCTGCAGCCGCTTCCTCCCCGGAGGCCCGCTCTTGGCTCCTCGGGGCCTCCAGGGGAACTCCCCGCCACCGGATCCTACTGGGACCAAGCCTGAGGGCCAGCAGCCCCACTGCGTCCCAGTCATCCAGAGGACCCAGAACCCCTCCTCCTCCAGCACGGCTGCCCAAACCCATCATCCCCAGCAGGCCCACAGCCTCAGCAGCAGCACAGAGCTGGGAGGTGAGAACGACACTGACACAGACAGCGGCTATGGTGGGGAGAGCGAAGGGAGGCTGGACGGGGATCGCAGCCAAGGCAAGGCCGGCCTCGCCATCAAGCAGGAGCCCCCCGGGGAAGAGGTGCCCCCCGGACCCAAAAAGAGGAAGCTGGACCGTGCGGCGGCCGAGCAGGCAGCCCTTTCGAGGCCCGATCCTGCCCTGCTGGGCTCCCTGATGGCTTTGGGGGGAGGATCAGGATCGGGACCCTCTTTTGGTCAGCCTCCTTTCTGCCTCCCTTTCTACTTCATCTCCCCCTCCTATGTGCAGCCTTTCCTGGACAAGAACCACCTGGAGAAATATTTCTATCCTGCAGCGGCGGCGGCAACTCCCCTTCCTTTGCTCTATCCAGGGATCCCAGCTCAGGCGGCAGCAGCGGCGGCAGCAGCAGCAGCGGCCTTCCCTTGCCTCTCCTCTGTCTTGGCTGAGAAAGCCCCCTCAGCCCTCCTTTCTCCGGAAAGGGCTGCTTCTTCTCCGGCTCAGCCTCTCCTCCTCCCTCCCTTTGCCGCCTCCTGCAATGTGGAGGCCGATCTCCCTCCACAGGAACAGCCTTTGGAAGAAAAACCCGCAGAGACTCTTCCTAGGCAGCAGGGCACCCAAGAGAAAACCCATTAGAAACAACACCGAGGCACTTGGTTTGAACAGGAAGGGTCTGCGTGGCACAGGTTTGCGATGGATGACCTCTGAGGACCCTTTGAATGATCTGCCACAGGCCAGACTGATCCACTGGCCTCTTCTCTTCTTGTCAAGGAGGAAGCCATGGTCTCTGAAAAGAGTGATTGTCTCTTTCTTTTCCTCTCACCCCCACCCCTCTAAAAGCAGCGATTCCCAAACTTTTGTCCTCCAGATCTTTTGGGTTTCAACTCCCAGAAGCCTCAGCCAGCTTGGGCCAAATGTCAGGAATTCTGGGAGGTGAAGTCCCAAACATCTGGCTGACCAAAGTTTTGAGAATCGTTGCTCTAAAGCAATGGATGTCCAAATTTGGATCCTTCTGATGTTTTGGACATGCATTCCCAGAATTCCTGACCTGTTGGCCAAGCTGGCTGGGGCTTCTGGGAACTGAAGTGCAAAACACCCGGAGAAGCAAAGTTTGGGAACCACTGCTCTAAAGGCTCCTTCTCTTTCTTTGATTTAGAGAAACAATCCAGTTTGATGTCATTTTAACTGCCATGGCTCAATGCTGTAGCATCCTGGGGATTGTAGATTGTTGTGGCAGGAGAGCTCTCTGAAAAAGAAGGAGGATTCCCTCGCTGAACTACAAAGCCCAGAATCTCATCGCATTGAGCTCTGGCAGTGAAAGTGGGGTCAACCTGGGTTGTTTCTGCAGCCTGGATGTGGCCTTGAGGTCTAAAGCCCTGCAGAAGTAATCCAGTTTGAGACCACTTTCACTGCCGTGGCTCAATGCTAGGGGATTCTGGGAACTGTAGTTTTGTGAGACATTGAGCCTTCTCTGTCAGAGAGCTTTGGTGCCAGGGCAGTGAAAGCGGCCTTAAACTGATTATTTCTGCAGTATGTTTTGGACTTTAGATATCTTATTTTGGGAAATCCTTATTCATCTTTATCCCTCACCTCATTTTCCATGCTTCATTTATTTATTTATTTTAAAGGTATTGGCATTGGCGTAAATTTGATTACTAGTCCCAGTTAGAGCAGACCTATTAAATGAATTGCCCAGTGGTGGATCAACATTAGATAAACACCATTGATTCAATGGGTCTGCTCTAGTTGAGGCTAGCCAGTGGATTTGGCTTGATGTGGGTTTGCAAGTTTTTAAACACTGTGGATCATATATCCCCTCCTCAATTCAGATGGGAGCACAAACAAATAGAAAAGGGACAGTGGGTTCTTGGTAGCTGTTGGAGTTTGGTTCCAAGATCTCCCTTGGATACCAAAATCCAGAGATGCTCGTCCCATTAAATACAGTGGCATAGTAAAATAGTGTCCCTTATATAAAATGGCAAAATCAAGGTTTGGTTTTTTGGAATTCATATTTTATTAGAATATATTTCAAGCCGTGGATGGTTGAATCTGTGAATATGGAGGGCTAGCTGTACTTTAGAGCAGGGGTCAGCAACCTACGGCCCGCAGGCTGCACCCGGCCCGCTGATCCCTGCCAACCCGCCCCTGCTGACCCCTGCCACCGACCCCTGCTGCCGCCACACATGTCACAGCTGCAATTTTGGCAAACAAAAATGGCGGTCACGACATGTGCGGTGACGTCAGCACACGCAGCAGCGGCGGGGGTTGGCGGGGGCCACGCGCATGAGCGTGTGTGCCGCCATTCCCCCCCCGGCCCAGCGGAAGACCTGGGGACCAGCAACCGGCCCTAGGTAAGTAAACCTTGCCGACCCCTGCTTTAGAGCAATCTATTTCAAGCTCTCTGATGTGAGAGACTCAGGCTGCATCCACACTGGAGGAATAATCTAGTTTGACCCCACTCTGCTCTGCTCTGCTCTGGTGCCACAACAAACTACCATTCCCAGAATTCCCTAGCACTAAGCTATGGAAGTTAAAGTGTGGTCAAACCAGACTATTTCTCCAATGTGGACACAGCCTCAGTTTT